TGTTTAAGATTATATTATTTTAAATATTTATAAAGACATTTTTAGGGACTATCTTCAATATATGATTGGAGTGTTTTAGAATATCATATAATATTATAAATATCTTCACATTCTTCCATAACTTTTTATGTCTTTCTAAATTTTTTTAAATATTTTCATATTGTTCCAAATGTTTTTAAAACAATTTAGAACATACCAGATTTTTTTCTTTTAAGATCTTGGACTCCCCTAAAATTTTCTCTGTCATCTTCAAAATTTCCAAAATCACCATATAGCAGGTTTTTTTTTTGGACACTGGCTGTGACGTACCTCTCCTTTAATCTCTTCTTAATCAAGCGTAACGCAACGCGTGTCTCCTTCTTCTCGTCTTCGCGGGTCTCCAACAAAGTCATTTAATGACATGGCTTTCTGCTGCCAGATACTCATTGCGGTCCAGCCAGTACCACCTGCTTTTGTCCGTACATATTGTTTAGTTCTAGCCATTGCATTTCATTCCTCAATATCGCATGTCTTTAATTGCTAAATGATTTAAGAGCGACAAGAACATGCAGCTTAAATATTTGATCAAGATGGACACCAAGGGGCACTCTTTGGAAGGAATCAAGACCCTTTTTAGCACTGCATTTTCCGCACCGCGAGTGCTAAGGTAAGTTCCAATCTTGGGATTTAAGGTAAGTACCGATTTTTGACCGTCACCAGGACCATTTATCAAGCTCTCTGGCTTAATAATTTTAACTCCGCGTCGAATCCCAACTATAAATTATTGAGCGGACCAATCTATATCGTGATGGCGGCCTAGGCCCTAGGGCGCGAGATTAATTATACAGTATTTGTTTTAGGATGAGTTTGATTGGAGTAGAGAAAGAAGGAGGGAGGTTTTAATAAACCTTTGTTTGGATTAGAAAGAAAGAAGAAGTAACATAGTAATAAATTAATAACTTTATTCTTATCAATTTTAAGTTAATTTTTATTTTTTCTTTAATTTATTATTAAAATTATTACATTATATTTCTTTATTGTTTTAAAGATATGAGATTATATTAATAACATTTTTTTAAACAAGTATATTAATATTATATTTTATCAGCATATTTAATGAAAAAATATTAAAATATTAGACAATGAAAATTATATATTAATTTCTGTGGAGTAATTAAATTTATTTAACTATAGGAGAAATGGGAAAACATATTACATAATTTTTCAATATCAAATATAATTTAAAATTTTTAAAATAACAAATAAATAATTTAGTTTAAATTTTATCTCTCTTCTCCCTCCCCAAAAATTCCAAATTGGAGGGGAGTTGCTTCAATTTTTTAACCAAATAAGGAACTTTCCTTCTCTCCTTCTATTAAATATTAATTAAACAATGGAAATGGAGTAATTCTCCTCACTTTCCTTTATCTCCCTTCAAAAAACTGTTAATCAAACACATCTAAGTTCTATATGAAAATTACTTTTTACTAGATATTGACGGTATAAAACTCATTCCCCGGCAAGCGCTCGGTTCTAAGATTCGAAATTATTATCGTTGTTGTTGTTGTTATAATGAAAAACCAAAAACGCGTGCAGATCGAGAAGCCGTAGCTGCAAACGCATCGTCGGGGAATAAGTTGAAAAATATGGCACGGGCAGCAGACCAGCAGTTGAATTGTTTTTATTTATTAACAGTATTATTTAATTAACTTCGCATGCTTGATTAGGATACCGGGGAACTTGCTTAAAACAGCCAAGTACGAATGATACCTGGTAAAAAGAATCAAGATTTCTCATTGGAAGACCGCCTAAAAACACTTAAAAAAATAATAAAATATATATTTAATTCTTTAATTTTACACAATATTTTATTTTAGTCTCTTAAATCTTGACTTTAAAAAATATTTTTTTAAACATTTAATTCTAACACTATTAATTTTACCTTGACAAATTTTTACATTGAATTTTTAAATATTGACAAAACATTATCAAATACCAACATATTAAGTTTATTTTTTTTAAAAAAATAACAATGATTGATACAAAAAATAATTATTTAAAATTAATAATATTAGAATTAAATGATAAAAAAGATACTTTATAAAATTAAAGGATGAAATTAAAATTTTTTACAAAATTAAAAAAAATAATAGTATACTTTAGAAAAAAAAATAGAGGAAAACAAACTACTCGTGTAATGCAAGACACGGGGAACTGGTTGCAATTTCATTTTTTGTGCGGGGACTTTGAACACCTGTTGAACTCCTTTGGACTGAAGAAAAATCTGCAAAAAGGGGAAAATCTCCCGATCCTTTTTTTGTTTTTGTTTAATATATCTGTATCATTTGGTCATTTTTAGGAATTGTCCCCAAGATGCGTCACGGGTCACAGAAGAATCAAGCTGCCACCAAGTCAAAGCATCTGCAGTGCTTTGATTTGAGTCGTAATATCTTGACCATTATATATAAGATGGATCGGACACAAGAACATGAATGCTTACAAGTTTTTTTTTGGGAGGGGGGGGGGAAGATTTTTCTTTTTGAGCTGGAAAAGGAGGGGAGATGAATAACAGTGTTTGTTTATTTGTTGTCCTGAATAAAGAAGAAGATGATTGAAAAGGGAATGCGGGGTGAAATTAAAATATCAAAAAAATTTACATTTAAAAATTAAAAGATATATTATAAATGCATAAGTTTAAGAAATATATAATTAAATGACTTACATTGTTTCAGTGACGTATACTATTCTTATATTCAGTATAAAAAATATAACATCATATCATGAGTTATTTGATTGGAGATAAGAAAAAAAATAAAAGATAAAAAAAACAAGCAATTAAAAAAAGAGAAGGAAAAAAATTGAATTGACTTAACATCTTCAAGACTAAAAAGAATACAAGCTAGATAAGAAGAAGAAGAAAATGCCAAAAAAAAGGGAAATAAAATTAATAGAGTAAATATTAGAATATAAAAAGTTTTACATCTAAAAATTATAAGCTAGGTTATAATTATAAATACATAAATTTAAAAAGTATTTAATTAAATAGTTTAAATTATTTTATTAGGGTATGTTATTTTTAAGGATATTTAATATTATAAAAAATCGAACATAGGTGACGTGGTCGTCCAACGAACAACACGTAAGCATCGGAAGGTTGGATTTGTCTTTTTAGTTCAGATTAGAGACATTTTTGGAGGGGTGGACGAGGGGTCACGTAACCGATTTGGATGGGAAGGGAGATATGGAGAGGGAGATGACGTGGAGGGGTACATGGAAATGACATTAGCGGCGCTGGAGGGGGAGGGGGCAGTGAATGGCGTGCTGCTGCCGCCTTCCCCTACCGTACGCCACCAAGTCGCCTCCAAGCGCCGCCCCTTTCTCGCTCCTCCTTTTGCTTCCTTCTAAATTACTTTCTTTCTTTACTGTGATTATTATTTTTAGTTTTCTAATATTCATCATATTCCTATTCTTCAATTACTATTTTTAAACAAGAAAATAAATTTCAATTGCTAAAATTTGATCTAAAAAGTTCATGCAAAGCTTAATATTAATTTTTTGAAAAAATATTATAATAATATCTTTATTAGTTATTAAATATCGACTGTTCCATTTTAGAAAAAGGATCCGAATAGGATTGTGAATACTAATTAATGTGGTTGATACGAGTATTATAGGAAGAAAGAACAAGAACAAGAGAAACAGGAGATGGAGGAGTGGAGATAGAGAGAGTCAACTTGGGATTTAAACGAGGAATGATGAGAAATAAACCAGGAGAGATGGTCCCCTCGGAGAGCATTAATTGGGACTGTTAAGCCTAGCCATTTAAGTAGTGCGGTAAGAGTCCGTCCTAGTAATTAAAAAGGGATTGAAATTCAACTCATCCAAACTTCTACTCCTACACAACATACTACCAAACAAAAAATTATAAATAAATGAACAGGTAGGATGGAGGTGGTGGCGCTGTGTTCCCCGGTAAGGCCACATCATGCTGGATCCCACATGATTAATCCCCACATTCATCACTCTAATTATCGGATCCCGGCTGCTTTCTCCTCTTTTTCACAAACCCTCCGTCTGTCTGCTTCCCTCTCAGTTCTAACTTCACCACATAATCCCCCACTTATCCATGCATACGCATGCTACCTGCCTCTCCCACTTATTTTCTCCAAATTAATCACTTTCCCATCAATTTACCACATCCCCATTCCCCTCTCCCTTCAACCCCTTTCACTCCCCCTCCCCCAAAGGGAAAAAAAAAAAAACTAAACAAATGAAAAAAAGACATTTTATTATCCATATAAAAATAAAACTCATAATCCTGCTCGTCTCGTTGTTTCTTCATTTGATCCCTGAGCCATTCGCTTCCCTGTATGCTGCGGAAAATGTCCCCCGCAAAGGACAAGGGAATTTTGTTAGCATCGTCTTGCCTATGAAAATGTCATTGACTAGAAAGCCAACATTAGACATGAGGAAGATTAATCAACTCGCAAGACAAACATAATGCTAATACCCCATACTCTTGACCCATTTAACATATACTATCAAGGAATTTCATTTTTATTCTAAACTAATACTCAGCATATTATAATTTCTCATGTATGATTATTAAACGCGTGCCGATTAATGGCTGAATAAAAATAAAAAGATATTCCTTTTTAGTACAAAATCTAATAAATTTTGAACTAAAAATAAAAATATCAACTACCGGAGACTCTGATGGATGCCTTGAATGAATGAGAACAAAACAATTATGGTGGAAAGGAAAAAGAAAAATCCAACATAGTTTATAGTTAATGAAGCAGAAAAAGGGCAACGTGTGAGGAAAAGCAGCGGGTTTTCCGGCGGAAAAGGACGAGGAGGACGCAGAAAGCTGCTCCTGTGCCACGTGGACTGCAGATCGTCCGTCGGATCGCTGTGCGAATGAGGATCGCCTCCGGAGATGAGATCATTGACATCCATCCTGATGGGGAGGGAGAGAAAGAGAGGGTGAGTTTGTTTTTGTTGTGCTACAGACCACAGACACAAAAGGGGAACTGCTCAGAACTTGAAAAAAAAAAAAAAAAGGAAAGAGAAAGAAACTGAGAAAGAAACTCTGCCGAAGATCAGAGAGAGAGAGAGAGAGAGATGAGCCGGGGGACTTAAATAGGGAAGAGAGGAGGGAGAAAGAGAAGATGGGGATGGCGGCGTTGCAGTTGCAGGAGCAGGGAAAGGTGTAATTGTGGGGTGGTGGGGCGTTTAATTGTTCGTATTAATGCACAGACACGCTGCGATACGAGAAGAAGAAGAAAGCGGAGGAGGAGGAGGAGCGAATTGAAAGACTGTGGGACGCCTGACCTTAGCCAACAAGCAGCTTCAATTTTATCCTCTTCCCCGCCCCAAAATCCAACCACATCATCCCCATCAATTAGCTGCCCAGCACGCTCTTTGAGAATACTTACTTAAAACAAAACCCGAGAGACCCCCACTTACTACAGACTCATACCTTCGCCAGAACCCGAGAATTAATTCAACCAATAGTTACCCCTCCGCCTGGGCTTTCCCTTTTTCTTCCCTGCTTGCCCTACACTGTACCCTCAAAGATCGAGCTGTCACTGATATGGATTATCGGCCACAATTGAGGTCTAGGTCAGGCATAGAGGTCGCGAAGCAATGGCGGGTTTATTCTCACTAGGCGGCGGAGGGGGTAGGGAAGGAGGGAGCAACCAGGAGGACCAGCCCCACCACGGCAACCCACCCACGGGAGTTCCTCACCCGGACGCCTTATTTTGGTACAAGAACAATGAAGACGTGCCTTGTTACAGAGGCTTCGAGCTCTGGAACCAGCAGCAGCATGTCATGCCGCCTCAGGCCAGGCCGCTTCTCCCCCAAGATCTTTACTCCCTAGGGGTGGGGCCCAGCAGCAGGAGCTCCGATGACCAGTCCTCGTCGAGATCGGGCGTCATGATGATGCGTTCAGCCGGGACGAGCGGTGGCGGAATAAGCTGCCAGGACTGCGGGAACCAGGCCAAGAAGGACTGCCCGCACATGCGGTGCAGGACTTGCTGCAAGAGCCGAGGCTACGACTGCGAGACCCATGTCAAGAGCACTTGGGTTCCCGCTGCTAAGCGTCGCGAGCGCCAGCAGCAGCAACTGCAGCACCAGCTTGAGCTTCGAGGGGACAACAATCCCAAGAGGCTGAGAGATACTTCTAATAATAACCCCAGCACTTCTGCTCATGTCCAAATGCCCACCCACTCCTCCTCAGCAGGTACCTCGGCATTCATGTTTTGTCTTGTTACTCTCGGTCTCTGTGACTGCGATCCACTCTTAGACACTACAGAATCTCCCAGAAATTCTCTGAAAAGATTTATCACACCACTGAGAAAGTTCTCAAGTATATCGATTGCGTGTGAAGCAACTCCAACACCCCCCCACCCCCCAAAAAAATTCGTATTCACCAGGCTTTTCCTTTCTTTGTTTCTTTTCCCTTTTCCTTTTCCAAAGACACTGTTGTTTAGTAGCCCTGACGGATGGATTGACAGCGAAGAAACTGTTTCTTCTCTTTGTGTGTGTCTCAATTATTCGTGTCTCTGTGACTCTCCTCTTTCTTCCCTCATTCTCACTCACACTCATATTCCTCCTTTGTTGATATCTGTGTTGTTTATTTTTCCTTTAAAAAATCGTTCTCCTACTCTCGAATGATGCTGTATCATTAGCCTTGTTTCTTAGTCTTAATACAATTCAGCTGTCAAACAATAATAATATTTTTTGTTTGCTCATCTCTATCCCGTGTATCATATTAAAGAGGGGTTAGAGCTTGGGAATTTTCCAGCAGTGTTCAGTTCTTCGGCGGAGTTCCGGTGCGTGCGGGTTAGCTCGATGGACGAGGCCGAGGAGCAATACGCGTACCAGACGGCCGTGAACATCGGAGGCCATGTATTCAGAGGAATTCTCTATGACCAAGGCCCCGATCCCAGTTACATCTCCACCGCTGATACTTCTCCCGGCGGAGCCGTTCAGCCCCTCAACCTCATCGCTGCCACCGGCGCTTCCGCTCTTCCCGCTGCCGCGACAAGCGGTGGTGCCGCCGGGGCTTCCTCCACTGGCCCACTCCTCGATCCTTCCATGTACGCGGCGCCACTAAACCCTTTCATGTCTGGCAGTGGTACGCAGTTCTTTCCTCATCCAAGATCTTGAAAAACCCAAATAAAATAAAGATAGATTACCAACTTTGTCTTTCAAGCTTCGAACAACTAATATCATACCATTATTGTAGTGGTAAATTTCATAACCATTCAAGTAGGGGACAAAGAAAGAATGAAAGAAAGAGAAAATGCGGACGATGGTTGCTCCATATTTGATTTTATGCAAATTTCAATGTCTGTTCATTTTAAAATGATATTCCTCTTCTCCTTCTCGACACCTATGTGTATGACTACGACGTGGTGGATTTCTAGTTCTGAATTCTAACGTGGTAGCACAACGCGACTACAATATTTTACTTATTTCTTAGTAATGATTTTTATCCTTCATGTTGAATACTAATCATGCTTTCTGGTTGGTTTTGAATTTCGAAGCTTCCTTTTTCCCTGTTTACCGGTTGCTTTGCCGGTTTGAAATTCAATTGCAAACACGGTTTGGGACTAATTAACCACACACTAAGACGGAATATGAGCGGTCCAATCATATGGCTGATGGATTTCCATTCTCTTCAAATGTGATGCTGTAATTTTATTATTAAATATAATGCTGTTTGATTTAAAACAGGAATGTAATCCTTATATTTTAATGCACATGCAGCAATGCATGCGTAATACTAGATTTAGGGGAACACTGTAGGTCTATATTTTTTTTTTGCATATCGCAGGCATAATACTAGATTGTTCTCTGATTATTGGGGGAAAAACTATAAGAAGTAAAACAAAGTTAATGGTTGAAATGTCAGAAATTTCAGCAGCCATGCAACGTCCTCTCTCGACCTCATGAATGGAGACCCACTACTCTATATACCTAATCTTCAGTGATGATATCACTGCAAACACACAGCAACAGACAGATTTGTCGTCATACCCTTTACATTTCATAGTACGTACAAATATGTATACAGCTAAAGTCAAGAGCTGTATGACTAATGTGAGTTACATATATTTTACGTCTATATGAGTAACGTACTTTGTGATTTGTGTTATCATGAGAAGCATTTTGTTTAAACAAAAAAATTATGAAATTAAATCAGGGACAGTGCATCAAAAATATGAAGTTTTATGCTTTTTCCTTTGGTCAGAACCTGGTCTTTTTCGAATATAGTCTAAGGAGAAGCTTTATAGATTTCTTTCTTCATTTTTTTTGTTTGGGTTGAGGGGGTGAGGAGAAAGTATAGCTGTTCTATCGATTTCACTGCCTTTAATTCCTGCCAATGGTATATATTTTTCAGAAGGAATTAATGTTCCACTTATATGACATGTAGACAGCATATCGTGACCTTCATGTTGGGGATACTAGGCTTCATTTAATCATTCGGAGGCACTATTAATTTAATTTTTTTAAGTGTAAATTGATATTAGGAAGGCAAGTCACCTTGTCTTGGTAGCTAGAAGTGGAGACCCTAACTTTGTGTCTTTATTTAATACTTTTATTTCTCTATAAGTTCCATCGTGTTTGTTATAAAGATAAAAATAAAACATTTTAAGTAGACACGGAAAGAAAAGAAATGAATATCCGAAAGAGTAGGACATCATGGCTGTAATATCTGCATGTGAAAAAACCCACATGCATAATGTAGAAAAGCGCGCTAAGATCATTTTGGAACCCAGAGTTGACTACTTTTGTTGTATTTTCCCGTGTTTTTGTTATTGCTTTTATTTATTAATTTTCCTGTCTTGGTGTGTGGTGAGGAAACAATCTGTTTGCTTAATGTCATCTCAGAATATCCGTAGTTAATGAGGCATCAGGCATGCCGTGGATTATTTTGCCACTCCATTGTTCTTTTGGACAAGTATATCCCTAGTGTACGTATCATACAGGGACTTCGTTCATTGCTACCTTGAACGACTCTATTGCACTGTATGGTTTCATAATTGCTTTTTTACATTTTCTGTGTTATGTTGAATTAATTACCATTCTAATGGCATAGGTCCCTCTATGGATTGGTTTTGAAAATGCTGTGTATGTGTGAATATTATGCTGACTGATTCGTACGTAGGTAAATGTTATTCACTCATATGATAAGGCCGTGGAAGCCTGCGTGTGTTATATGTTTGTCCCTTTTGTGTATTTTGAATGTTGTCTTCGACGATCAAAAGAATCTTCACAATTATGGTGCATGGACCTTTTTTTTTTTTTTCGCCCCAAAGTAAATATGGTTATGTGGATTTCCACTCTGACATCTATTACTCGGAGGATAGTTTGAGAACTTACATATATTGGGTCAGACAGGAAAAAATAATCTTCTAAATATAAAAATACGAAATGGAAACAACATAATTTCCCTTGTCTTGTAACACGCTCTTCCAAGATTGTAACCCGAGAGAATATACATGTGAGATACGCTGCCGGCCATATGATTTAACGGCTCCTATTCAGTCAATTGCTTGGAAGAGCAAGCCTTGATATTATTGGCTTCATGCATTTACAACGTATTTTCATGGTGAGCTTACGAGTTGCATTGCATGCGGCCCTTTACGTAATTGTTAATGATCAAGTACACAAGGGCACGTTTATATTTAGTTTATCATGCAAACCGAAAGGACCGTGTGTGGGTGTGTCAAGGTTGCTCTATGAGAGTTTAAAAAACGAGCTCACAGAAAGGAGAACCTCCTTTGTGTGATTAACTACGTACATCTCTCGCAATTGTACTGTAAATCCTCAAATGCTTAGTTGCTGCAATTTCATGGTCCCGCTTTGATTCGGGCTGTAATCAATGCCTGCCATCCCATGTAACCTGAACTCGGTTTTTTCTTCCTGGTTTAACCCCCAAAATGTATTATCCAGCTGGTAATGAAATCATGATAACTGAAACTAAATATATTTTATTCGTTTTATTAATATCTAACTTCAATTACTTCCCCAAAAAAATGCGTGCTGATTCCTTCAGATACAGCTACTTTTTTCTGGGTTATGTCAGTTGGAAATCATGCTTCGCAAATTTCATGTTGCAGATGCTGAGTTTTTGGTTGTGTTTTCGTGAAAATGCCAAAAAAAAAAGAGATATAAGAGCATGAATTATAAAATCCTGAACGAAGGTCAAGTAAATACGAATCCAGTTTAGGATTTTCTGCTTTCCCGATGGTGAAATTATTGGGAGTACCTTACCGGAGACGCGGATGGTGCTGACGATCTCAATGTCGTTCGGTTCTTCCCCTCCTAAAAAAAAATTTCACCTTTCTTGGATTCTTCCCAAAAGCGGAAAATTATGCTGGACTTGTACAGCTTCTAAGGATAAAGCAATCAAAATCAAGTCGAATTAGTTAATTCAGTGCTCCTCCTACTCTCGTGCAGCTCAGCGCACCTCTTGATTAATCATCTTTTGTTCGAACCCCGTCTTTTTTCAACTATTTCCCAAAAAGGCCCAAACCTTCCGACGAAAACCTGCCCTGGCTGTTTTCTTAAAAAGTAAAAAATGGAACTTCAATCAAATCTAGGATCTGTCACATGGCGTCATCGTCGAACTGTTAAAGTTGAGCTGTTGAGGGACTGCGCGCACACCTTCGTGTCGTTGCCCTTCTTTCTGCCGCTGTTTGCTTGGTAAAACAATTTATTTAATCGAAGGAAGCGACATGAAATTTAGGTATGGAAGAGGGAGAGACCATTAATCGACGACGCGGCGTTGGGTTTTCAAACTGTCAAGCTTTGAGAATCAGGGTGTCCAAATTACAATGCAATGAAGAAAACAGGCACAGAAAGGAAGATTAGGGTTTATTGCAGGATTAGGGTTATCGATTTTGAATTGACGAAGGGGGTTAAAACAAAAAGCGTGAAGAGCTTGAACAAACCAAAATGGTGGCGTATCTCAGCGAGGTGGTTGCATAATTGTAGTGGTCCCGCCAGGGCCTTTTGCTTTGCCGGCTAGAGATGGATGGCCCTTGATGCATGAGACAGTGTGGGTAAGTCATTGAAGGAAGGAATGAGTATGAGGTGGTAAGACGTGCACGTATCACTGAGCCGACTTGTACGATTGCGTGATTGTCTTGATCATTGCCCTCTGGTTCCGCTCTTTACCCAGTTTTTCTACCCCCAGAGATCCATGACAATACACGACGTACTTGTCATTGGTTGTTCGACTGGGTGACCAGCAAGAGCATGCAAGACAAGGGAATGGCCATGGCAGTGTGGGGCATAGTTGGGCCTTTCCCATGATTCTGAAGATCCGGCCATGGCACTGTCAGTCCAAATCGCTCTTTGCCATGCTGGGCTCTGGGAGATGAAGCATTAGCTCCAAACAAATCCCGTTCCCAAGGAACCATCGCTAGAGTTGAGAAAACGAGCTGATTCGATCCTACAGGCCAGCCTTTGATGAACTCAAGTTTAAAAGAACCAGTTCATTTAAACTTGAGTTCTCTTCATGACCTTGAAATATGAAGCCCGACCCTTAATATAATGGACTCAGGGTCGGCCCTACGAACTTCAAGCTCTTTTAATTATTTTTATTTTTTTAAATTTTTTTATCAAACAAAAAATTATTTTATTTTAATATAATACCCAATCAAAAAATAATGATAAAGCTAACTAAACAATATTTAAATAAACTAAAAACACAAATAAAATGGCAAGAAGACGCCAAGCAATGGATTGATTAAGTCAACAAACACAATCTAAATAAGATGAGATTAATGGATTGGAATATGAGATTGAGAGATCTAAATAAATTAATAGATTTAGATTTTTTTTTTTTGCCATCCTTCTTCAACAAATATGGACTCACATATGACGTCGAGTATAATTTATTTCAATTTTTTTCAAATATAAAGAGTTAAAGTTATAAAAATAAAAAAAAGAATATATGTGAGCTTAAATGGGCTAGCCTTTAAGAACGGGCCAGCCCTCAGCCCTCAAGCCCAAAATTAAATGGGTTTAAATGAGCTAGCTTGTTTAATTTATCATTTTAGTGTTCAATTTACAAATCTGACCCTATCTGACCCTATTGTTATACGGATTTAACATTCAGCCCGATTTTCCTACTCTAACCATCCCTGATAGGGAAGTGTGACTCAACCCGGACTCAGTGGTGCACGCCTTGCGCAGAAATCAATTTGATAACGACGTCCTGATTTTACGTTTTCCTCGGCTCACTGGTCACTTCCATTACCTATCCTTTTCTCCTTTGATGTAACCAAGAAAACCGACTCTTTTTTTTCAAACAAAATAAAATAAAAAGGCAATCCAGATTTTCTGCCATAAACCACGCCAACTTTACGGCTTCAATCATATCCGCAGGAGAATTAAAACAAAACTCGGTCTTCACAAATAAGAATAATGATCCCCATGAGACTTCAAAATTATGTCACGTTCAACGCGTGTTGTCGTCATTTATACTCTACTTTTAGACAGACACGACTTTCTATTTCCTTCCTATAGCACATTTCAAATTTTTTCTGATATAAAAAAAGTAAAATGAGTTAAATCCTAAGAACTTACTTAAATTAAAGCACGCCTTCAAGCTTAGAGTGCTTAAAGAGGTTTGCACATCAATATAGCCCTTGCATCGACTGTAGAATTTAATCCCGTGTCCTTGTAAATTATAGATCCGGAAACTCAATAAACTTATGGGTTCGCAAAGTGGCTCATTCACTGACTCTGAATTCAACGAGATTTATATTTTGGACCTGAAATAAGACAATGTTTCAAGATGCTTGGAAGGATCTTTGGAAGGCCCAAGTAAGCCAGCCCATAAGCTTTAGAATAAGAATATGTGACATTCAATCCCTAGTCATAAATACTTGAAATAGAGATTAGCCATTTCCATACCACAGCCACCATAACACGTCAGTCACGAGGAGCTCGGTCAGCGAGGGTAAGATGTATGTTATCGTATAAAATGACCCCAAAATTTCGTACATTCACGGGCATACTCCATAGAAATCTTACAGTCGACAGTGAAACACTCGAGATACATCCTTGAAATCTCATCAAATATGAGCACCCGAAACTCTTGAATCTCCGCTAGTACATTTCATTTCATCCAAAAGTTTTTCCATGTTCTTTGATAGCGCCATAAACACTTGCACCCTAGTGCGTAATCTTCTCACCGAGGACCAGATGAGGAACGAGGCTTGGCCTTTGCAGAATTCAAATGCTGGGTGACAAATATAACTCCCATCACAACTATGAGGCATCCAACCAGAGTGCTGAAGAAGAGCGCTCCGGGATGCCTGGTCTGGACAAAACCGTATATACCACTAGAGGTTACAAGAATGAGGTCAATGAGCCCATCGTTTGAGAAGTCCTCACAGATCAGGGCATGAGTTGGTGAACCAGGAAGTTCAATTGTAGCCAACAGACTGCCTCCAGGAGATATTAGCACGGCTTCTTGTTCTCCAGCTGCAAGGATAACTTCCTGATTGTCATGCACTCGCAAGGAGAGAGGCTTCAAGGTAGGAACCACCAGACCACCTTCCATCATCCCTGACGGGGAAGGCAGATTTGACCAAGTAACACCAGTTGAGAGCTGCCACTGCCAAACAGCGCCATGGCCGTGCAAGCCAGGAGAGTATGACGTAATCTGCAAGGAACACAGTTTTGTTTTTTTTGTTTTTTCAATAATACGGAAACACTACTGATTAAAAAACCACAACAGGTGGAAAAGAACTACATACAACACATTCTTCCTCTCATCATCCACCACCTTCAAACATATAGGTAAGGGCAAGGAACACAGTTTACGAAGTCATTAATTCCATTATCATTAGGATTATTCTTCTATCGGATCCCTATTACCAGTACACGCACTAGGGAATTGGACAATAACATACCTCTCCTCGATTAGTCAAGAAGATAACATCACCGTGGCTTCCTTTCCTATGCTTGTGACCATCACTTCTTGGAATAAGTATAGGTGTTGCCACCTCTAAAGAGGATATATCTGAAGCTCGACCAAAGCTTCTAGAAAATTCTCCATGTTGGAACAAGTTAAAATGGGTAAAATGACAAATAGATACATTAAAGAGTTGTTCCCGAACTGGCACACCAGATGTTGCAACAGCCCAGCAAGGACGTAGCACTTCCATTGACCCACTGACTACAGTCTGCTCAGCACCATTGCCTCCGACAGCCTGAAAGGGAACTTGTAATCTATATATTACATCCATATTCTACAATGCTTAGTGCTTAGTATGATGATCTAGCTGTTTGAATTCAAGAAAGAGGGAATTTTTTTTTTTTTTTTTTTGTGGGGAGCGCGGACCTGCACATGATCTAGAACTCCATCACCATTAACATCAGCATGAAGACCACCTTCCTGAAGATGAAGCTGGGATAGACAAATTCATTGTTACACAAATTGCAGCGGTGAAATAATTACATTAAATACAGACAAACAAGTAAAGGTTTTGAAGACAAGGAAAAGGAATAAGCTATGATACAACCTTCCATACTCCCAGAATAATATGTTGTTTTGATATATATGACTTTATCTAAATCAAAGAAATGCATGGCAATTTTTTTTTTTTTGGCCAAAAAGAAAAGATATGTATGGTAATTCAATTGCCAAGTCCATATTGATTAGTGCAAATACATTACCTTGCAAATAGTTCGACCAGATGCCAGATGAAGAGCTTCAATCCCCTCTTTTTGATGAGCCACCACAACATTAGGGACCCACCAAACTTGAGTGTAGTTTGTTATGGTCGGTACATAAGGTAGAAGCTGCATCCAAAGAGCAGACACATTATGACAAAAAATAAAACTACATCCTAAGTTGGGGTGCCCCTTATATCTGTCGTAATGCCAACATTTTATTTGGCAGCGACCTTGCTCTCCTAAATACCAATGAGCACATGCATAAATAAACCCCAAATAAAAGGATCAATACAGGGTACTGTGAATATATGTGCCTGAATGTTTTCTCTCCAATTCTCATGCCAAAATATTTAATAGACTATCCTAATCTTAACTGAACGAAGCATGTTACAGTACAGGAGAAAAGAAAGATTGGTGTCATACTAGTACTGCACTATTGCTGGTAATCAATAATCTAAAGCTCAATAATGTTGCAACAAAATATAAAGCCGACAGATGAAAGCCATAGATGATCCAAATGAATGCCAATGCTACCCAAATCACATAAAACAAATAACAGATTTACAATAGTTGACAAGCATACAGGCAGCTACATAACCATATGAACAAAATGATAGCTCCCAGCTCAGAACATGTTTGAGAAGAATCTCAACATTAAAATGCTGAAAAAGAATGTTTCAAGCAATGAATTTTCCAATTACAGCCATCTTAACAATTATCATTGTACCAAGGCCACATCTTGCAAGATCTACAGAAAAGGATTCTTTTCCCATGACACGCAAAACAAATTATACAATATCTATTATAACCTTGTCATAATTATTTAACAATTTCTTCTTATTACCCTTTTTTTAATTCAGTGCCATAAAAGCATTTTACATCCAAAATATCACTTTTTTCATTCCATTCCATTCTGTATACCAAACAATCCCTAAATGGCATGCATCTCTGAGCAAGTATCAAATGCAAACACATCGTTTGCATATTTCACCTTTTTAGGTTTTGCAGAACCAGCATAGTTTACAGCTTTCCCAATTATGTTTGAAATTTTTTTTGATGAGTCCTTCCCAGGAGGATTGTTTTCCTCAGGCTTGTGAAAAGGATAATTCACAGTCTTTCCAGGTATTCTCTTCGATGATTTCCTCTTGTGCCGCTTGAAGTGTGCCAGCTTCAATAAAGTATCCTCTCTCCTATCCTGAAGCATAAATGCAATGTAAATTCTATTTGGAAATTTGAATTCAAGATTTAGTACATAAGAGTGATAAAAGTTGAAAAGCATATCGTACCCAGTGATGTGGCATGACCCCCAGGATTGATTCTCTGAACTCTCTACATTCAAACTAGAATTTCAAATGTCACCGGAAGCTATCTTTTAGGGAGACGCACTTAATAATTATTAAAGACAAGACATAGGCAACACCATTGATTTGCAATAACATCAAATTTGAAGAGAGAGGGGGAATAACAGATATATTAGAGATGACAAATATCTCCTCTCCGTTTTAAAAATATACACAAATCTCCCATGAAACAAAATGCTACCCTACACTTAAGTCCAATTTCAATCTTTTAGAGAGTAAAAAACAAAAATTAAAATTGGACTGAAGTGTAAAAACACACAAACAAACACAAGAGGTTTGTTTTACCACAGGTTTGTGTAATTTAAACAAAACTCATGAGAAGTCTACATAATTTACTCAAAAACTTAACCACAACATGAAGTCTGGTGTCACACACACACAAACAGACAAAGGATAGGGGTTGGCAATGGTTGATCCTGGGGAGTTTAAATGAACATATGACAGTGTCTAGGATATTTGAAACACAGACAATAGACAATGCTGCACCTTTCATACACATTTTAAGATTTGAAAGAACAGCTAGAGTGAGCCTACCTCTCCAGGATGACGACTATTCAGAGCATGAACATCAAGCTTGAAGTTATGTTGTGGAAGTAGACGTGATTCATCTGAAGATAGTGCTTCAATGTTCTAAACAGCAAAGGACAGGATAACGCTGTCAATTATTAATATTTATTATTTTTTTTTGGCCTCTAATGTTTAATATTATTAGTCATGCAGCCCAAATTAAAATCAACCCCAAATTCAGTCAGCCCTGTGCAAGATGGTAATTTCCAACATATTTCATGATAACAATAGGATATTAAAGTGCAAAAACAATTATTAAGTATCTAAACATTTCTCTAAACTGCCTTTATGAGGGTGATAAGAATAACTACACAAAAAATGTTTGCTGGTCATAATAAAATTGAGCTCAATCACTCCATAAGGAGTTAAGAGGACAATTGATGGTGCAAATAAGAAATGTTGGCTGCTCAATTCAATACCGTTTCAACTGTAAGAAAGACCAATGACACCAAACTGTCACCAGTACAAAAGAGTGTGGCCACAAGGTGACAGGTGGCAAAGTCCAAAGCTCCAAAAGGTGGTATGGTGAGGTAAGGTAACTTTGTCATTGGTGTGAGGCAAACATCTTTTATTAAGAAATAAAGGGTATAAATAAAAACCTCAATGCAAATTTATCATGGCATAGAACCTAAGATTTAATAGTCCCAAGGACTTGCTAGAAACCAAGTAGTTTGCATGACTGAGCCGTGGAGGTGCTTCACAAAATACGGAGACATGGAATCTACAGTTTTGATGGACCATCCTCAAAATTGTAAAAATTTACTTTGTTTGGACCTTGTTAGTCTTCATTAGGGCTTTTGCCCTTCCCTTTGTATACTAGGATGGATTTACAAATAAATGACCAATTGAAAAAAAAAGGGGAAAATAGAGGGCAACAAAGCTTCAGCAGAGATAAACAGTAAGAGGAATGACTAAAAAATAGAACTAAAGACATAAGATCATCATATCAGAGGGTCTATCAGCAAAATCTACCTCAGAAGAAGGCCCTAATTCCCTCCAGGTTTACTTTTCTTTCCTACCCACATAACAATCCTGCTCCCACATAACCACATAGAATAAGTCAAAAGGTATGGTTGGTTTTTTCTATGCAAAAGCCACAAACAGCCAGATTTGACTCATCTATCCCCTTTAGCATGCATATACTTTGGCTGGTTTGCACTGTAAGCGAAGAAAAATGTCATCTTAGTGAAATAAAGGATGCAGCTACATCAGATACATGGCTTCCCCAGATGCACCACAGAGGCTGTTTGAGATGCTTTCTCAGCACATAGACAGCTGCATCGGCCATTTTTGACTGCACTGTCACACCAACCTAAGTATGATAATGAGTTCACTTACTCCTTGTAAACCATTAAGTGTTGCAAAAGATACACTTTGTTTGGTCACTAGACTTCCTTTGTTCACTATGTGTTTCAACTTGCTGAATGGAATGATTTGATCTTTGAATTCTACTTACTTGTATCCTTGTACATGCTTCTTCCATTTTCTGATTCACAATCCAAATGCCCACAAATTCTCTATATCTGATGCTTTTTGATGGTTCACCGTTTCCTCCGGTATGACCTTTGTTTGGACTGCAGCGCTGTATATAATTAATACAATCCAAATTGTACACCTCATAATGCAGTCTCTCCAGATGGTTGTTAGGAATTTTCTGAGATAAGAGACAATAACTCTTTTATTTCCTCCGTGAAGTTTTGTGCAGCTTTGGAATACTGTTCTTGGTATTCTAATGAGCAGAGGTTTCGTGCACAGCCTATTTAGATCACTTTTAGCAATTTTGTTTAGAGGTTTTGACATGACAATGAACCAATTTTGATAGCTAGAAGGATTTATGAGCCAGGAAGAAACGCAAGTGATTTTAAACAGAGTTGTCTTCCTGTGCATCATCTTCTGGACAGTTTTGTTCATTTGGCTACTTTATGGGCTTCAGCCCTGAACTTTTCGGGTTGTTTTCTGTTTTAGATTTGCAAAGGGATCATTTCCACTCATTTGAATTAATGCTTTTCTCGTTGTTTCTCCTGGTGCATTTGTTCTAGGAGGTCTTGTCCTCGCACTCAGAATGGGATTTTTAGTATCTCTTAAATCTATCCAGAAAGGGGGGAAACATACCTCATTTTTTCGGGTCCATCTTTCAGCTCCAGATCGTCCAGCAAATGCATAGAATGCAAAATGCCGCAAATCCACATTTCCAGAGTTTTCAGAAGCCTACAAAGATGATAAACACAACAAATAATTAAAGTTTAAGAGCTACGCATAGAACAATGAAGTAGAATTGACCTGCCACATTCTTTGAATAGAAAGAGCAATTTGTTAAAAAGAAAGGAAGAACACAAAAAAAGAAAAGAAAAGAAATTAAACCAAAAATACCAAAACATTCAAAAACACAGAACTTGATTGAAATCAAAAGGCAAAAAAAAAAAATCAATGATGGACAAGAGATATTACTGAAATTCATCAAAACAATCAGATACTACTGAAGGCCCATAGCCTCTAATATATCAAACTAAAAGTTTGCCTTTTCTATTTTAATAAAATTCAAGCATACATGCCTTCCTTCCTTATCCTATGTACTTAGTTCTTTACTTGTTCACCAATCACAAAAAATGAGCAATCAACTGTTTCCTATACAAGTACCAAAAACCTGATAACAAAATTTGGTCTTGAAGGATTCTTGTTCCAGGGAAATTTAGTCTTATGTAATTCACAGCATAATAGAATTAGTTTTCATTTTTTTCCCTTTTTCCCCTTAAATTCACTAGATCTAACTTGACATGATAAAATAGAAGAAAATTAATTCAAAATGTATTTAATTCCCAACAATAACCACTCCTAAATTTTGAGAAGTCACAGATAAATCTCTCACCCTGATTCTCTATCTTTAATAACTATTACCGCCTGTCTTCTAACATATAACAATTTTATTTTCAATTTAAATGGAGGATAACCTTTCAAAAGTTTAACTCCTTTTAATGGGAAAAGCAGAAGGTAAATCCAGTGTTAAAACCATTACAATTGCACCGAGCTTAAACATATCATCATCCCTTATTATTCTAGATTACTAAACAAAGAAGCACTTTAGCATCCACAAGCAGCAGGATGCCTATACCTCCTTTTCAGTAGCACTTCTCCGATGCTGCTCAGCATACCTGGCTCCCATTGCCATTTCTTCAAAAGGGTCCACAAAAATCTAAAAGTCGGAAAAAAGTTACTTGATAAAGAAGCGATACAGACCTACATTCAAACAATTAGATTCACTAACAAAGACAGCATCAGTACAATGTTACAAAAATTACCAAGCCAAAAAGGTTATATTGGAAGATAATACCGATAGTAATAAATTCATAAATGGAAAAGCAGAAATACAATATCATTATTACTCTAGCTCTATGCATCGTGATCTAAGAAAATTGTGAAATTCAAAACGCAGCAGGAAAACTACACATACATCATACTTCATCAACCTCAATTTCTAAGAATCTTCCATGTCTGACTTCAGAATTTAAAAGGAACAGATAGCTGTGATCTACATAAATAAATATATAGTTTTGAAAGAGGATGACAAGACATCATCCGCTTTAGATAGTAAAGATAATGCAATTAAAGAGTACAAAAGGGCATACATTTTTAGCAAATAAAGAACAGGTAACTAAAAACAGTTTCAAAGAAAGATAGTAACTCATACATGAGATTGCATTTCCATCCTCCCGCCAACAATGATCAATCCTGTATCTCCATGCTTTAAAGTATAATTGCTAACAGAGATTGCAACTTCCCTATGGTGAGCGTTATGCGGAAAGTCCTCCTGCCATCAACCAGTAAACGAACTAGTGAGCTAGAAAATAAATAATTTGAAACAGACTATTGTAAAACTGCCTTTGGAAATAGTAAAGCTAGAATACCATATGGTGTTCGGCCAAAAAAAAAAAAAAAGACCACCATACGATGAGCTAACCTGTAAATTATTTTCCCACAGCTTTTGGAGGTTAGAATCAAAACACATAACAGACCAACCAGACGTTACTACAACAAGAACTTGTTTATGTGGTTGCCCAACTTTATATCGATCAATATATCCAGTAGCCATAGCAACTGGGCGTCTGCCAGACATAACCCGAATTTTGTCAGGCAATAAAGAAACCTCAGCAAGTAGACGTGCCTCATTGAATCCTTCATCCATACGCCTACCATGGGGTTCCAAAACCTGAGACAAACATTATAATTGTTTAAACCCAGTTGCTGGTCATATCACTTGTAACAAAATTATAGAGAAAAAATTTCATTAGTGTCTGAAAGTGATAGATAGGAGAATACTAACAATCCAAGTAGAAAAACAAGAAATATGACAACGGACAAGATTGTCAGAACTAACGAGGCTGCGAAATGAGGAAGCAACTCAAGCAAGTCTCAATTTACCTGAATTTTTGCGTCATGTGTAGCCACAAGAACTTCCTTCTTCCCATCCCCGTTTAAATCAGCAACCAACGGCGGCGGAAGGCGTTCGGCTTCATATTTAATCGGGTATTCATCAAATAGATGCATCCACGCATCTTTAAATGATACGCCACCTTCGTGCTGACAAGTGAGGAAGCGAAGCACGATAAACGAAACACAAAATTAAAATCCGCTCCAATGAAATTGACAAAATATGGGTACAATGAACCAAAAAAAAATTACATCTTTTAGAGAGCAGGGTTCGAGTTACGAGGGTTTATACTATAGTCAGATGAAGCAGCGGAATAGAAAATAAAGAAGTTACCTGAAGAGAGAAGAAAATGGCGAAAGCTGAAAGCATAAGAATGGCCAAATCCCGCTTCCTCATATCTTCGATTCTTCTCAACTTACATGTGTTTCAGTTCATAAATCACAAATCATTTCTCGAGTTAATAGCAGCAACCCAGGTGCAGAGACCAAAATTGAGCTTCTGAAGAACGACTTCTGAGTTCGCGACCTGTGCGTTCGGGCATGTGACGGAACTACGTTTTTCTTGGGATCGGCTTGTCTCCACTGACTTCTTTCTCCATTTCCTCTCCATTTCGTTAAAACGCAGCGTTTCATTTATTGAAAAAAAAAAATCTGAACCGTTCACTTTCTTCAGTTTTTCAAGTGAAAATTATCCATCATTACAACTTCATTTTAGGTTACATATGTTTCTCCAACAGGGCAGGAAATTTCTCAATTTGCCTCCAAAACCAAGAACTTTACAAGTGCTGTGCGATCAAGAAGAGATAGTCGACGAGCGTGCTCATTGGTTTCATCACTTTGCTGATTATTTTTTCTTTGGCTCTATACACATGCACAGATGCTTCCTTAAGTTATATATGTCAATTGCTTTAACTCTGTTTTTAATACTTCATTTAAATGGTGCTGGTTTTCATAGTTTGCTCTTAATATACATTACAAATCAGAAGACTGAAATAGTTAATTGTATATGCTTATATGAAGAATAGGATAAACTGAAAGCTGCATGACGTCAATGGAAGAACAATGAGGGGAGAAAGGTGAGAGACATACGTAAAGCATAGGACAGGGTTCAACAGAACCTCCGGGTAACGTGAGTGGGATGTTTAAATTGAAGTCTTTTTGGTCAGGATTTAGTGACGAAATTCTCATGACAAGACTCTTGTTCTTAGGCCTCTGATTTAATCCTTGCATTACATGGTACATCAGTATCCAGTTAGATAAATAGGAAGAGTAGGAATCTATATATGTTGCTTTTGTGTGGCTTGGAATGTACTACTCAAGTATGTGATATTATTCTTTCTTATTGTTTATATAAACTTCTGTTAAATTATTTTACAAGTTTTAGTGTAATATTTGTGCATAAGATTTATATTTACAATCAATTTAAATTGGGTGTCTACTTGTCTATTTTTCAGGCTTATATGATGGATATAAATTTGACTCCTAGACTTAATCTTGAATTTGACAACATAGAAGACTCATGGAAATTTTGGCAAGATTATGGAAGGAGAACAGGTTTTGGTGTTCGCAAAGAGAGATTTAATAAAAGTAAAAAGGATCAGTCATATTTAAGTTATCTATATGTTTGTCGTAAAGAGGGGGTGCAAAAACTCGACAAACGAGACAAATACACTAAGAATCCTAGACCTGAGACAAGATCAGGTTGCCAAGCTAGAATGAAAGTTGTACAAGTAAATGGAAAATACAAAGTAAGTGAAGTTTTTCTTGATCATAATCATGACCTCCAGCCCCCTGAAGCTGTCCACATGTTTCCATCATTTCGTGAACTAACATCGGCTCAAGCTTTTGAATTAGAAACTGTTGAGAAAGCTGGGATTAATCAAAAGTCATCATTTAAGTTGATGAGTGAATATGCAGGAGGAAGAACCAATCTGGGATATACAAGAACTGATGTAAAGAATTATCTTAATTCAAAAAGACAACGAGCTATGTCATATGGTGAAGCTGGATGTATTTTTCATTATTTTGAAGAACAATTGGTGGCACAAGCTATCTGCCATCAAATTAATATCCCAAAGAAAAGAAAGCCTTGGTTTTCACAGTCAATGTAGTTATTAAGCATAAATCTTGCATAAGATACCATAGTATAATCAACCATAATCACAACTATGGATATATCTCATGCTGATTAACCAATGAGATGTCAGACAAGGATATATTATTTTGGCTTTCACATCACTAGACATAAAGGGTAAAGCAAGACTCACTTGAGTAGGTCAAGCAGCCTTAGAATTGAATGGCGTGCATTTAGTTCTAAAAATATCAGCCCATCATAAAGGAGATAATCAGATGATATATACATAATGCTGCCAAGAGTTATTATAACCCAAAAAGAAAAAAAAAATTGTTTTGAGAAAGCCTACCCTAAGTAAGAGAGGAATGTGCAAATGTTTGGGACATCATAAATATTCATAATATTATCAATCTGTGGAGACCATAAAAAAACTCTAAGATCAATAACTTCATTTTGAGGCAAAGATAAGATCAATATCTAAGAAAATGAATCCTACTTGGCAAATGGTAGAACTCCGAGCACCAAGCTAATTTCACCAATAACTTATCAAAACATGAAAAAACTGTGAGAAATAGTCCTTCATACTCTCCAAAAGAGGCTGTCACATTCAGTATCAAAATATTGCACTTACTATAGACATAATTGCCAAACTAAAGGATGCATTTCAAATTAAAATATATCATTGCAGTCTGATGAAAGAATTGAAGAGGCAATGAGAATTTTTGACAGACAAGATTGAGTCATCTTCTAATCCTTTTCCAATCTACATATATGCACCAATTTTGAAGAGCAAGTAAAAAGGTCTGTACATGCACATAGAAGTTTTATTTTGCAGTCACCTAGTTTATTTCACTGCACAAATCTCAAAACCAATAGCCTTTGTTCAACTATCAACAATGAATAAACATTGATATTTTATTTTACACATAATGTCCTCAAATCCCACCAGATCACAAAATCCCAAAAAAGACAAAGCCCTTTTTTTACTTTTTAATTTTGTTTTCTACCCTTAACAACTCTCATCAGCCAACAATGCCTACCTCAAGTTTGATCTGTCGGATATCATGTATGGTGGAGGAGATTTTCCAGTAGAGAGGGCAGCCCATATAGAAGAAAAGAAGAAAGAATAGAACAATCAAGACAACACGGAAAGCAATCCTCGATGTAGATGACGCCATGAAATTGTTCTGTTTCGGTCTCTTGTTCTTGTTCGACTTAGCTTCAAAAAAACCTGCAACCTGATTACCTAAAATGAGAGCAAATGGAGAAAGAAGTCAGTGGAGACAAGCTTGCGATCTACGACTAAGTTCCACTTGGAAAACTGAAGAAGCAAACAGCCCAGATTTTTTTTAACAAGTGAAATGCTGCGTTTTAATGAAATGGAGAGGAAATGGAGAAAGAAGTCAGTGGAGACAAGCCGACCCTATTTTTCTTGGGGAGGATTGCACTACAGCCCAGAAGGAACCTATTTGCATCACAGGCTTAATAGAATCTAAAATAGTATCGCAAGTCGAGAGGCCTTTCTTGAAAAGATAAAATTATCTCTTAAAAAAAGAAATGGACGGGATTGTTGTTTACAAATTTTTTATTATAAATTTCTTTTGGAATAATTTATAATTTTTTTCAACGAAGTATAAATACATGTACTACTAACTTATTTAAATTTCAGTTAAATATAATTAATTATAAAATAATTAATTAATTATAAAAATAATTGATTAATATGATTAATTTTAATTATAATTAATTATGTTACAACGTAATTTGTTTGGATATTATTTTTTTAAAATTAATTTTAACATAATTAAAAATATTTTGGATAATTTAATCAAAATTAATTTTAACTATATAAATTATCATAAAGAACATTATTCTTTAAAATTAAATTATCATTAAATTTCTATATAATATTATTAAATTTGTTAAATTTTATTTAAGAAGTAAAATATATTATTTACATTATATATTTGATTAATTATAAAAGTTTAAATTATAATAATAATAAGATTTTAATTTACGTAAATAAATAACTCAATATATCTTAGTTTAGATTTTGATAAAAGAAAAAGATTTAATTCTTAAATGCCAAACATTAATTTTATAATAACTAATGAAGATGATAATATACAAGTTAATCTCTAATAACATCGTGGATATGAATTATATCTGATGAAGATGTTATGAATGATGGTAAAGATGAATATTCATCAACGTGATGATCTTCTTGATCTTCATACTCTATTTGATCTTCTCTTTTATGATGCATAAAATCAAAATTAGAATTAGATTGTCTTCTAATGAAATTATGTATTGTCATTGATGCAACAATGATATGAACTTGTATATCATAGTTGTAGCTAGGCATATTATGTAAAATTGTAAACATTTTCTTCTAAACTTTAAATGTTCTTTCTATTGTGCACTGTAAACTTGAATGAAAGTAATTAAAAACCTCATTATTATTTGCAAATTCAGTGAATCTTTTAAAATTAAAAAGATGGTCGTATTCCCTTTTATATGAACTAAGATATTTATTGGGTGTTAGAGGCGCATTCACCAAATAATATTTACCTTATAAAAAAAGAGATTATTATCAATGTTGTAAGTTGAAAAGTCCAATATAAATAAATTAAACTAACAAATATACCTGAAGGCGGATGTGGAAAGTTCATTGACTGAGTTGCCAAAGCACATTAAAAAATGCAAGCATCATGTGTAGTACCATCCCATCTAACTAAGACAAAAGTAAAGTACATGTCCCAATGACACACATCCATTACATTTTGCGTTGGGACTCCTTTTCTTTTAATATATTTTGATTTTTCACCGGCAAGGACTACACATGGAATATATGTACCATCAATTGCTCTAATTGCATTTTTGAAAAATGGCTAATATCACTTATCATTTTGTTTTTTGTTTGATACGTGATGAAAGAACCTGTCTTGTGATTTGATATATTACATTGCAAGTTTAGAGCAAGCTATTAAAACTTTATGGAAATGTCTGTGAATAGTCTCTCCTGAGTGTTGAAATCTTTCTTGTGCCATCTTGTTTCCTAACTTATGTCCAATTGTATTTAAAAATATTGCAACCATTTCTTGTACTCTCATTCGCCTAGCATCTTCAGTCCGTGATGTATCAATTCATTGCATAATTGATGAAACACATGTAGTTTCATTTTAAACATTTTATAGCAATAAATTAGATGTCCTTTTAAAATTTCATTCACCCATAAAATGACCTATATATTCACTATTTATTTATGGCTCTTTGCACAAATGTTTTGCTGCATACTGCCCAATCAAAACATTAACTTTTTGGGCTCTCTTTAACCTATTTTTATGGGACTCTTCCACACTCCTTACTACCTGTAACCAAACACATAAATAACATGTGCACTTAATTTCAATTATAGATATATCTAAATAATTTAACTATACAAATATCAATAACTTTTCCACAATATTAAAATACTTTAATAGTATATATAAAAAGTACATAAATAGTTCAAAGAGTTATATAAGTCAAATTTAACAATATAATACAAATATGTCAAACTAATCTTTAAGTAAGATAATATGTTCATAACAAGTTTTACAACCCTCATACTCAACCATTTTTATAGCACTCATATCTCAACCACTTTAACATAGTCTGTCTATTATCCTTCATGATAAAAAACATTACCCTTGCCTCTCGGGACATGAAGAGAAACATGCATCATAAAAGCCAACATTTGCTAGCTACAACTTCCTCCATTTGTTTAACTATAAACATGACTTGAGGAATTGATGTTTGCTTGGCCTCTTGAGATTATTCCTTTGCTATTTGAGCTATCACACTCATTGCATCTACTATTTGACTTGTAATAGGTGCCTTGTTCTTTTTCCTACTACTACTACTTTCACTTCTCTTCCTCTTACCATTACCTCCACTTAAGGTTCCCTGAGAAGTTTTTAGAATTACTCTATTGAATTCACTGCTTACTCTAATAGTAGTTCCTGAAATCTCATCACTATCTCCTAAACCTTCTTTCAAGTTAATATCCTTATTTTCCAAACTTGGGCGATGTACATCTTCGTCCTCACCTTCATTCCTAGTGTAAAAATTAGGTAAAACTCTACTTGCAGGTGCCTATGCTCTAAGTCCATTGGCTGTGGTACCTTAAAACAATTCGATTAATTCATTAACAAAAGGTAATCCTTTATCTTTGAAATTTTCATATGATGGATTTTCCTACACATACATTACCAATGATATTACAGAATACACAAATAAATAAAATAAATGCATATCCTAACATAATAACATCATACCAATATCTTTTTTTCTCACCAATCATCTAGAGCATCCATCATATTTTTTGTGTAATCCCATCCCAATCTTGTCTCATTTGAAACCAAGTTATCCCAAAGCACTCACTCTTTTCTCATATTATCCCATCTGTTCTTAAATTGCTGTTTGCCATATTTTTTTTAGTCTTCTCATTGAAGATAGAAATTATATTTTGCCATCTTGCTTTGGTAAAGCTACTATCATTTCTTTGTGATTTTTGTGTTCCAAACATATGTTAATAAATATTCTAGTATTTTTTTGGTCCTATGAAGCTTTTTTTTATCCTTATTCATTATGCTATATAAAAATTAATTATATGAGAATATAAAAATCAATTATAGCTCTAGAGTTGATCTTGAATATATTGATGATTATAAAATAACAACTTCACAAGTACCAACTTCAAAGACTGACACATTAAAAATCATCTTCTTGATAAACTCAAAGAATAGTATACATGCACATAGTTATTGTAACATCATGAAAATCTAAACTTGATTAACTAAGTTAACCAAGGTAATTGGTGAATTGATGAGATATGTGGTTATAGAGGTCTGATGGATATGTTTGGTTGTGATTTCAACCCTAAACGTGGGTTCGAAGGCGAGTCGGGTCACTTGAATGTGAAAAGAAGAAGAAAATAGAATGAGAAGATGTTGTGCCATGCACTGCAGCTTGTGGTCAAGCCGCCGTGGCGCATGGCCAAAAATAAGACTATCAGTTCATGTCTTTATGTGAAAATAGAATAGGAGGAAAGGAGAAAATGAAGAACGCGACTTGGCTCTACTAAGGCACATATATTGAGACCATTAGTGATCTTTTAGAGCTTTCAAACACCCAAAGTAAAGTAATTTATGCCTTTCTCTTCCCTTCTCAACCATATTTACAAGGAGTAAACTTAGGGCTTAAGTTGGGATATTCATTTTTGGTCCATATGAGTTTTGATATGAACCCATTAGTTAAAATGGATATAATAGAATTTGTTTAGGGTATTTAATCCTAACATTAATAATTGTAAGAGTGATTAGTTGTTGGTAGCCATTAATATGTGAAATTTAGTAATTATGAGGTTGTTGGGAGTGTTTGTGAATCATTAATAGTGGTTTAATGACTCATTAGTGATAATATGGGTCAATGAAACCTAGTGAACCTATTGAGTATGTTTGGGTGTGAGTTTATGACTTGGATGAAAGAGGATATGTGGAATTATATTATTGAAAATTACCAACGATAGGGCAATGATAATGTTCTTGTAATATGATTATAGTATGATTCAAATTGGCACCATTCAAGCTTGGAAGAAGCTTTAGAAGTAGTTTTTGTTAGAGGTAAATCCTTGACCTCTCAAAGGTTTAAGGTAATCAGGGAAATCCTAATATGGATAGTTGTATGTTAATTAGTTAATTATTGAAATTTGTGATTTGAACTTGTTTGTTGTTTGGAAAGTTATTGATGCAATTGTTGGCAACGTGTTATTGATTCATGATAATACTTTAAAAAATGAAGAATTTTATGTATGAGGTATATTTGTGTTTAATGATGATAATTGACAACATGGTATCACGAAAATATGCTACATACAATATGCATAATGTGGACAGTATTAGAAGTGAGTGATGATTGTGAATTTTATCACAAGTGCATAATATGTGTCAAAATATGCATAGCATGATTATTAGTGAGAGTTTGCCTAGGGAGTGGAGTAGTTTGTAAATCAATGGGGTACTGGTGGCGATTGTTGGAATCGGGAGCTTGCCTTAGTATTAATCGTTAGAATTGAGAGGTAGCCATT